TATCAAAAAAATATGTGCAAGCATATATTTATGGACACAAATTATCTTTATATGTGTGTAAATTTACATATATATTTTATAAATACCATATAAATACCTTTTAAAAAGCATTTAAAAACCTTATAAAATCTTTGTAAACCTTTTAAAAACCTTATAAAAACCTTATAAATGCCGTTTAGAAATTTTTAAAACCTTATAAATATTTGGATTTAGTTCCCCAGTAGTAACGATGATCTTGATGTACCTTATCAACCATATAAAAGTTTATAATTTTTCAGATTTGAAAAAGGGTATTCTTGAAAATTGATAGAAAAGAGGGGTATTTTAAAAAGAAGTACACCATAAGAGATATTTCTCAAAAATACTCTAAAATGATTTACAAAATTTTAAAACGTTTACTAAAGTTGGATGTCTTTTAAAAGATTTACAAGGGGTTTTATGAAAATTTTAAGGGTTTTAAAAATGTTTAAAAGGTTTTTTCTAGGAATTGTGGGAAAATTATGGCTGAAAAATTTTGCCGGAATATTTTTGTCGGAAAATTTTTGTTGGAAATTTTTGGCGGGAAATTCTTGGAAGATATATATTTTTTTGTTGGAAAGAATATTCCTTTCTTCATCATGGGTTATTTATTAAAAGAGAGCAATTTAGTTATTTTGTATGTTGAAGAGAGTATTTTTGAAAATGGACACCTATAGAGGGTATTTGTAGAAAATGGTATGATAAAAAGTTAATTGTGCAAATTCACCTATTTAAAAACTTATTTACAAATTTAATCCGTAAAAAGTTGCAAAATAAAAATAAAATAAATATGAAAACTAAAATATAGCTAAAAATTCAAAACAATCAGTTAGATTCCTAAATAATCACTATGAATTTGGTATAAAAACATATTTGTTATCTTTATATCAAAACTTTTTAAAACATCTGCCAAATATATTTATATGATATTATTTATTTTTAATTTATTTTATAACATAAAAATATGTATAACAAAAATAAATTTTTTCGCATATCTTATAATGTCTCACATCGAGTAGTAAATTTGAGACAACCGTTCAGAACTATTATGCTTCCAACTACGAATGAGCAGGAATCTTGATTTCTAAGGCGTCCAAATCTAAAAAAAATATTCGGTTTAATCTGGATTTCTATTTGAGTTTTTATAAAGTTTCAATATATTATAATTATGAAACTTTAGAAGTTTAAGAATTTATAAATATTGAAAATATTAAAGAGTTCAAATAATTTAGATATTTAACCTTTATAGAATTTTTTAAAATATTCTAAATATTTAAACTCTTTAAAAATTTTAAGTATTAAAAAGGTCTAAAATATTATAACTAAATAAACTCTATGAAATATTTTGGGCAATTCTCAAAATAGCACTAATTGAAGTTTTTCTTCCAAACTTATCACACACTCTCCTATTTTCCGAAATTAGCACCATATATCAACATTAAACTTTCAGAATTAAATCGTAAACTCTAAACCACAAACCGTACCTCCTAAAAGATACCTAAATGTAAAATAGTCAACACAACACTTAAAAAGAAATTCTAAAAAACTATTTAATATATTATAATTGTATTAATTAGTGTTATTTTTGGAAATTTGTAGAATGTGTGCTATAATTGTCCATAAATCATACCTTTGGTGCTATTTGAGGGTATTTCTCAAAACATTTAAGTGTTATTAATATTTTAAATTTATCGAAAGTTTAAACTAAAGTATTATTGATTATATTTTCCATAGGTATGTGATGGTGTGGGTTAAAATTTACATAAATATGATTATATTTTTTTTATAGGTTGTTTACTATAGTAAAACTCACAAAATATTTTAATCTGAAATTCGACTATTTATGCCAACATCATTTCATTATTTTGAATATTAGACTTATTTAATTAAGTTTATTCAATTACGATTATATTAAAAAAAATTGTCATGCACTATTTTACGGGTCAAATCATAGAATTGACAATCAAAATACAATAATTAAATAAACAATCAAAATACAGTAATACAAATATACAATCTTAAATACCAAATATAAATAATAATTAAATACAAATTAATTTTTTTTTCACAAATAACTCAGTGTACCGCGAGTTAAACTCTAGTTATAAAGTGTAATTTTGTAGTGCTTTACCTATTGGGAATTCCTCAGTGGGAGATTTGTTAGGGTGGCACTTCACGAAAACGGGAAAATATACGGTAAAATCTGGGTATTACACAACTAGAATGGTAGATACGCGAATTCATCGCTCTCAGGTATGTGGTCCGGATACTAATCCTCTTTTAGCAAGGGTATGGAAAATACAGTGCCCACCAAAAATTCAGCATTTGACGTGGCAATTGCTGACGGGGTGTATGGTCTGGTCTAATTTAAACCAGCGTGGGATACCGTGTGATGATAAGTGTGCTCGATGCGGTTATCAAATGGAAACGGTTAATCATGTTTTCTTCGAATGTCCACCAACGAGACAAACTTGGGCACTGGCTAGTGTCCCAGTGGGCTCTTTAGCCTTTCCTACTGTGTCTGTCTATGCTAATATGGATTACATTTTTAGGATGATCTCAGAAGGAGATCCATTTCTTTCATATCCATGGATCTTTCTGGTATATTTGGAAGGTTCGTAATGGCAAAATTTATGATAATGTGGATGGTAGCCCAATGGAATTATTACGGGTTGCTAAGGATGAAGCAACTGCCTGGCAAGGAGCTCAGTTGGAGGATTTGGGTCTTCCTTTGGGATCCACACCAACCAATAATTCTATTAGGAGTCAAGTTCTTAGGGTTTTAACTCCCTTAAACTTGTATACCGGTTATCATTGTTTCTTTGATGGTCTTGGAAGGCCACAGATAAATTTGCAGGTTTAGAATGGTTTTGTCATCATGCTCAGGAGTCTACCCAATGATGGGTACCTCAAATTTACGACGTAGTCTTTCTCCCCTTCATTCCGAAGTTGAAGCTCCGGTCTGGGAGATGAGATGCATGATAGGTCATAACTACAGTGATGTTATGTTCATGACGGACTGTTCAGATTATGTTCATAACCGAGTGGCTGGCGTTCTCTGTCTACCTTGACGACATCAACACTGATAAGAAAAAATTCTCAACCTTTTCTCTCACTCTCATTCCACATAACTTGAATGGCATGGCGGATTCTTTGGCGCGCAAAGCTCGCTCCTGTCCGCACATTTTTAAACAAGTCTACTTGCATCCCTCTCATTGGCTATAATCAGTTGATTGTAGTTTTCTTGTTGACAAAAAAAAAGTGTAACTTTGAAGTCATAACATTTCACAAATCATTAAAACGTTTGGTAAATAGACCACGGGATTTGAAAGTAAAGACATTTTGCTAATGAAATTTTTTTGATAAAAATGTGTAATTTTGAAGTCAGAACACTTTACAAATCATTAAAACGTTTGGTAAATAGACTAAGGGATTTGAAAGTAAAGACATTTTGCTAATGAAGAAAATTGATAAAAATGTGTAATTTTGAAGTCAGAACACTTCACAAATCATTAAAGCGTTTGGTAAATAGACTAAGGGATTTGAAAGTAAAGACATTTTGTTAATGAAGAATATAAAGACAATTTGGTTAATTAAACTCACTATTTTCATGAAGAAAAAAACTAAAAAAAACCAATGACGGGTCCCATTTAATTGATATAGACTTATGCTAATGCTTATTTCTAAACATTTTTTTTTGGTCGCCACTTTTCATGACTTTTGTTTAGGCAAAAGTAACTGATTCGTTTAGAAACTACGGAAAACAAGGAAGAGATGTTGAATAGTTGTTTTTTTATTGATTAAAGTCTGGAATACAAGCACAAGATTTCAAGGCACAATGAGTCAAACAATAAACCCTCGCCTTGTTCTTAGTATTGAGTCGTGCGTCTTATGCTTTAGGTCTCTTATTTTGTTCTCGATGATCCTTTATGTTGAGATCCTCTCTCCTTTTACAGAGGAAGCCCTCTTCCTAATCCTCGTGGGATTCAGAGTCAAAAATTCGTTCTCTTTTGTGATATACTCGAGTCGAGTCGGCCAACAAAATATATTCAGCCTTATCTTAGAATTATCGTTGAGGCCAACTAGTAAACCATAGTCGTGCTAAGGCCCAGTCGTGCTAAGCGAGCAAGACTTTATTAGTTCATCAAGACTCTTCTAGAATCTTGACATGTTACCTCCAATTTACTAGGTTTAAATAAGATTAAGACATTATATAAAATATGTAAATAAAAGTATACCCAACAACTTTATTTTGTGAAAACGATGTATAAAATCACAAACTAACAACATAATAATTTAAGTTATTAACGGTTATAGATTCTTTTGTTTTACTTAAATATCACAAAACATTTTACCAACTTTATAAGAGTATTAATCCAATAACTCTAGATTTATATAGACTTTATATTGCTTTTTACAAATCCAAAACTAATAACACCAAACTTTACAAAAATTTAAAAAATCTTGATTAAATAACAACAAATTTTATCTAACATTTTAAATCATTAAAACTCTATTTAAATCAGAAACCTAGATTTGGTCGTGATTTTTGGTCTTTCAAGCCGGCCCGGAGCTAAAGGTCATAAAGCACAGGCTTTAGACAGCAAAAAATTGTTTAATAGTCCAGGGGGAAAAGTCTCAACGTCTCTAGTTCGAACCCATTGTAGGTAGTTTTTAGCACATTTTTTTTTGTTTCAGTGCTTTGTTAGTTAGCAAAATTTTTTTTTGCTTTAGGCATATCAAAAGCTTGGACCGGCCCTCGTCCTTGCCACAAAGTTTGTCTCATGCATTTATTATGACAGTGTCTGCACACAACTTGATATTCCATAGTGATTGGATAGCTCAATGTATGATAGTTACGTAATCGTAACAATGATATGTAATTTTAAAAATTTGGTTTCACATGTTAACCTCAAAAAAAGCAAAATAAAAATAAAAAGTGCATATATTATCTTGTGCTTGATGCATAGTTTCTTACTGAAGCTATAGAGATCACCATAAATGGTAATACAGCGTTGTAGTTTGTCTATAAATTAAGTTTCCACTTTACTCAAAGAACCCATCACATGCACCATTGATTATCTTTGTTTATCAACCCTTCCTTCTCTTATGGCCTCAATAAGCTTAATTGGCGTTTCCATAACCATCATTTGCTTACTCATCCTCCATCGCTTCCTCTTCAAGAAACCTCTTTACCGGTTCTTTAGAATAAGCTGGCCGGTGTTGGGGATGGTTCCGGATCTTTTCCTGATGCTCCACCGTATCTATGACTCTATTGTGGAGCGTCTTGAAAGCACGGAGTTGACATTTTTATTCAAGGGACCGTGGTTCGCTGGAATGGATATGCTAATCACAGCTGATCCAGCCAACATCCACTACATATTAAACTCAAACTTCTCCAATTTTGTTAAAGGTTCCGAGTTCATAGAAGTCTTTGATGCCTTCGAGTGTGCGTTACTCACAAAGGACTCGGTGGCATGGAAGACTCAGAGGAAAGCTACTCAGGTCATGATCAACCATCAAGGGTTTCAAAGATTGTCAATGAGTACCATTAGAAGTAAAGTGAAGGACGGCCTTGTTCCAGTTCTTAATCATATAGCTGAAGAAGGCACAACTGTAGATCTGCAAGATGTGTTCCGGAGGTTCACGTTTGATACAAGTCTAGTTACAATAACCGGGTGTGATGATCCTAGATCTCTCTCCATTGAAATGCCAGAGGTTGAGTCCGCTAAAGCTTTCGACGATATAGTAGAAGGCGTTTTCTATAGGCATGTTAAACCTAGACTCTTGTGGAAGCTACAAAAATTGATTGGAGTCGGGATAGAGAAGAAGATGACAGAAGCTGGTGCCGTTTTTGATCGAGTGTGTGCGAAATACGTATCAGCTAGGAAGGAAGAGATAAAAAGATCACAAGGGATTAATTCCAGTGTAGAAAGTGAAGATCTTTTGACATCTCACATAAAGCTTGATACAACCAAGTACCAGCTCTTGGATCCTATCAATGATAAGTTCCTCAGAGACAATGTCTTAGCTTTACTTCTAGCTGGGAGAGATACCACTGCCTCTGCTCTCACTTGGTTCTTCTGGCTTTTGTCCGAAAACCCTAATGTGATGACTAAAATTCGGCAAGAGATTGACAAGATTCTCCCAAGAAGTAGTAGTGGCCAAGAGAAGCCATCTTATGATCCAATGGAGCACTTAAACAAGCTAGTGTATCTACATGCCGCATTGTGTGAGACGATGAGGCTTTACCCACCGGTTCCTCTGGAGCGTGTGTCTCCTCTAGAATCAGATGTGCTTCCAAGTGGACATAAAGTCGAAGCAAACTCGAAGATTTTGATTTTCATTTATGCGGTGGGTAAGATGAGAACCATATGGGGAGAAGATGCATTAGAGTTCAAGCCAGAGAGATGGAATTCAGAGACCGGAGAGTTGAGACATGTACCTGCCTTCAAGTTCTTAGCATTCAATGCCGGCCCGAGAGTATGCCTAGGTAAACATATAGCTATGATGCTAATGAAGATTGTGGCGGTGGAGATATTACAAAACTATGACATTAAGGTTGCTAAAGGGCAGAAGTTTGAACCAAACACTAGTTTGTTTCTTCGAATGAAGCATGGATTTAAGGTTACAATTAACAAGAGGTGTTCCTCTTGATATGAGTGAAATAATTATGTTTGTTTTGAGTTTGATTTTAAATTCATAGTCTAAGAGTATTAAATAAGGAGAAAAATGTAAGTGTGATCTACGTACCTTAAGTTTCAGCTTGTAATGAGGTTTTATTGTATGCTTAAGGTTTTATTGTATGCTTGGAATCAACTGCCACCGCTGCGTCACCGTCGTCTTCTTCTTTACAGCCAATTCCGCCGCAAGGCAAACGCCTTGTAACATGAAGAACAGAGTAACTTCTCCTGTGGGCATCTCACGAGTTAAGTAGAAGAATAGCAAGTCGTGAACCAAACCGGAGACGGTGAACGTCACCAAGGTCCCCAAATACAGAGCCCAGTTGGAGCTCATTCGGCGTTCAGAGACTTGCCGCATTGGTTTGTAAACGTCTGGCCGGAGAATCGTGGGCACAATAGTGTTCCATCGGCGACCCCAGAAGTCTTTAGAGACGTGGCTAAGTATGGTTTATTAGAATGTGGCTCCAGGTCGCATCCAAGAGAGATCGAAACAAAAACTTTGAGTAACGTAAGAATGATCTCAATCTCTAGGTATAGATGTAAAAAATAGAGTACTAATAGCAGAAGCGGATGCAGAGTTTGTTTGTAGTCATACAAATGTAACAGCACACAAAAGATACAAACTTTAACTGTGAAAACCAATTTGGGCAAATGAGTCTGAGGTTTAGGGTTTTGTTGGGTTTTGATTGGGAAGCAAGTAAAGCAGAGGAACCGGGAGAGAGTTGAAGGAACTGGGATTAGAGGACCTTTATCAAAAGAGAAGAGGATGAGTTTGATATTAGCGAGCCATGTGAGTAAAAACGCAGTGATGAAAGAGAGATGCACAGTGGAGAAAAACAGAGGAAGAAGAAGAAACAGAGCAATGATAGGGAAAACAGAGAGGAATCGAGGAAGTCCTGATTTGATTCTAGGTGGGAAATAGTAACAATAAGATATGGAGATGATCGTAAAAACCAATACTTTGATCAAGCTCTTGAGTTCTTCCTCCATATCTCTCTCTCGCAGATCTTTGTGACTTTGTTGCTGTGGTCTTGGCAATAACCGAAGTTGTGACTTGGCTGAATTTTGACGTCTCTTACTAGCAATCAACTACATAGTTTGTGGTTACTGTAACATCTGTGACTACACTACACTTCTTTCATAAGAGTAGTCAATTTGCAATATTTCAGTACAAACAAACAATTTTTACTATTTTCAACGATTATAATATAACAAGAACAACAAAGCTAAAACGGAAACAAAAAATCTTACTAGCTAACAAATAATTTAATTTGTCAATTCCTACTTCCTACTCATCTTAAATTCATTAGTATTTCAACAAGTTGTTTTTGTCAGTTGTAAATGTATACAAAAAAAAAGAAATTAACTATATATTCATGTTTATGTTTAATATGTTGCCCAAAAATCAAAAATGATTTGTAGTTTACATGTAAACGCAATAGCTTGACATCTTTGTCTATAAACTAAATTTCCTCTTCACTCAAAGAACTCATCACAACACTGATCATCTTTGTTTATTAAACTATCCTTCTCTTATGGCTTCAATAAGCTTAACTGGAGTTTCCATAGCCATCATTTGCTTTCTCATCTTCCATTGCTTCCTCTTCAAGAAACCTATTTACCGGTTTCTTATAATCAGCTGGCCCGTTGTTGGGATGATTCCGGGTCTTTTCTTGGTGCTCCACCGTATCTTTGACTTCACTGTGGAGCTTCTTGAAAGCACTGAGCTAACATTTACATTCAAGGGGCCGTGGTTCGCTGGAATGGATATGCTGCTCACTGCTGATCCAGTTAACATTCACTACCTAGTAAACTCAAACTTCTCCAATTTTGCTAAAGGTTCCGACTTCAAAGAGGTTTTTGATGCCTTCGAAGGTGCGTTACTCACAAAGGACTCGGTGGCATGGAAGAATCAGAGGAAAGCTACTCAGGTCATGATCAACCATCAAGGGTTTCAAAGATTGTCAATGAGTACCATTAGAAGTAAAGTGAAGGACGGCCTTGTTCCAGTTCTTGATCATATAGCTGAAGAAGGCACAACTGTAGATCTGCAAGATGTGTTCCGGAGGTTCACGTTCGATACAAGTCTAG